CTGTGAGGAGAGGGAGCAGCATCGGAGGGGCGGGGGGGCCAGGCTGGACAAGGGGGCAGCCCAGGTGCGGCTGTGAAGATGTGAAGGAGGTGGTGTAGGGTGGGATGTTTCTGTAGCATCAGGAGTCCCGGCGTGTCACCACCCTAAAAAAGAGGGGATCGGTGCGGGGAGACGTGCCGGAGGGCTCGGGGATTGAGGGAGATGTGGTGACCTCAGGAAGGTCTCCTAAAAGCCTGCAGGAGTAGGTTTGTGCAGCGGGAGGGAGGATGAAGGAAAACTGCCGGATTTGCGGCCGGGAGCTGTGCGGCAACCAGCGGCGATGGATCTTTCACACGGCGGCCAAGCTGAACCTCCAGGTGCTGCTCTCCCACGTCCTGGGCAGGGAGCTGTGCCGGGACGGCAGGTCCGAGTTCGCTTGCAGCAAGTGTGCCTTCATGCTGGACCGCATCTACAGGTTCGACACCGTCATCGCCCGCATCGAAGCCCTCTCCATCGAGCGCCTGCAGAAGCTGCTGCTAGAGAAGGACCGTCTCAAGTTCTGCATCGCAAGCATGTACCGCAGGAACAACGATGACTCCAGCACAGAGGACAGGGCTGGGGAGGGGACCGTGGACCTTTCCAACCTGCCTGATGCGCGGTACGCTGCCCTCCTCCAGGAGGACTTCGCTTACTCGGGGTTTGAATATTGGATGGATCAAGAAGAGCACGGCCTGGAGCCGCACAGCTGCCACGGCTCCGAGGGAGCAGGGAGCCGCCCGCGGCGCTGCCGGGGCTGCGCTGCCCTGCGCGTGGCCGACGCCGACTACGAGGCCATCTGCAAGGTGCCCCGAAAGGTGGCCAGGAGCATCTCCTGCGGGCTGTCCAGCCGCTGGTCGGCCAGCATGGGCAACGAGGAGTCGTCTGTGTGTGATGTGGCCGAGTCCACCAGCTCCAGGGTGGCTGTGGATGGGGACAGCATGGAGGAAGGCACCCCTGCATCCTCTGTCGAGTCTCTGGACACCACCGTGGAGGCCAGCCCCCCGCAGCAGAAGGATGAAGATGCTGATAAGGGGGTGAAAGGGAATGGGAAATGTGACGATTTCTCAGATGATCGTATGACCCCAAGCTCTTCGCTGAGCGGGAACAGGCTGGAGCTGGCCCTCAATTTGATCAAGACTTTGGACTACAAACCCTTGCAGAGCCCCCGGGGCAGCCGACTGCCTATTCCTGTGAAGTCCAGCTTGCCCCCTCCCAAGCTCAGCCGTGACTTGGGGGATGGCAGTGCTTCTGCTGGCTTAGCATGTGCTAGTTCTGCCTTCCTGAACACAGAGAGAAAATCGTTTTCCAGGGCTCCTTTGGGCCTTCCCCTGGAAATTTCTGAACTGCAGGAGCTGTGGGATGACCTCTGTGAGGATTATATGCCGCTGCGGGTACAGGTAGAGGTCACGGTGCCGCCCTTCCATTGAGCATTGTCCTCGTGGTCCAGTGCTGAGCCCACTGGGGATTCTTCTGTGCTGAGATAATGCAGACAGCCACGTGTGGCTGAATGGGGGCTAAGAATAGGCAACCCGCTCCTTTTTAGGTGTGCTGGCTCTCTCCTCAGGCATTCTCTTGTCTCCTGTTTCCTCCCGGTGTTCTGGGAAGTGAACCCTCTCCCCCTCCCTGACAATGCAGCCTGCTAGGTGGGTCTAAGCTCTTTGTCATTTTCCTGCTGAGAAAACACCATTTTCACTATGTCTTGAAGCTTGAAGTCTCTGTGGCTTTTACCCACAGCCAAAGGGAATATCTTAAGCTTCTGGGCATGTGTTTTCCAGCAGATGTGTTTTCTTTGTGCCTGCGTAATGGTTGGGGTGTGAGGAACGCCTGCCTCTCTGCCCAACGTGCAGAGCCGCCCAGGCATCTGTGGCGTGTGCCCTGAGGAAAAGGTGTTTTCCTTGCAGGTGGATTTGTGCCAGAGGATGACTTTAGGGTTGGTATTCAAGATAATAGGTTTATTTTCTGATCCTTTGAAAAGATCTATCAATTAGTGGCAGGTGTTGCTGAGAGGGCTTGAAAGCTCCTGCTTTTGGGATGCTGTTACCTGTCTTGATAGCAGTCCTAGCTCCAGGTTGCCTCTGTCTGTCTGGCTTTAATGAAATGTTCTTTAGTCTGCAGTCAAAAAGCTGAACTTGTAACTTCTTTACCCCTTTCCGTAATGAATGGAAGGCCTCAGTCAGCTTCAATTCAGGAAGATCCATGTCAGCCTAATTGCATTCCCATTAGCAGCCTTAGTGCTGCCTAATGCTGTAGGTAGCCTGGGGGATTAGGAAAATGCTGGTTTATTACTATGGCAACTGGCAGCGCTGAATTGCTCTTCCTCTTTAGCCGGCTACTTGCTGCCCCATCTGCTCGGGCGTTTCCCGGAGCTGGGTGCTTTTTTTTCCATAAAAGCCTGCTCGAGGAACGAACGTAGAAAAACTTGTTTTCATCTGGAGCACAAAGGCAGCCGGCGGCTGAGGATGTGAACCAGGGCATCGTGTCATTTGCTGATGGTTTCCACTGCTGGGGGGGTGTGTGAGGGATAAAAATGGGCTTTCTCTGAACAGCGTGCCCTGTTTCCAGGTTGGCTTTGTGTCACACGTGGCCATCCTCATCTAGGAACTGTGTTTTGAGGAGTTTCTCCAGCCTCTGCCATCCGACCTGGCCCTGCCAGGAATTGATCCTGCGGGATTTTTTACTGCCTGTTCCTTGTCATGGCAGCAGCAGCTCTTGAGCACAGGGTCTGGCTGAAGGGGGAAGGGCTTAATCCTTCAGATGGCTTTAAGAGCAAAAATGGGGAGGCAGATGCAGCTAGTAGGATGAATAGTTGTTGCACAAATGATTTTTCTTTTGGTTTATAAAAGCAACACCTTTCCTGTAAGTCAGGTGCTGCTGCTGTCCAGCGATTCCTGAGCATAAATGTGAAAGAAATATCTAGAACGTATATAAGACTACAGTTCTCTTACTGCTTTTGCAGTTCTTTAAATTTATGGAGCATTCTGTTCCTTAAATGTATGGAGCATCCTTGTAGGGATCATCTTCTCAGGGGTTTTCTAGAACCAACAATTCCCTTTCCCACCACAGCTCCAGGGAAGTGGCACCAGCAGAGCCTTTGTGAGGTGCCCTCCTGACAGCCAGGCTCTTCCCCACTGTGCTGGGCAGCCTGAGCTTGGCAGGCTCAGAGAATGCCCTGATTATTATCTTTTAAAGAAGGTTCTCTTGGGGTCAGCGTGTGCTGGCACTGCTGGGGCTGTGCTGAGGAGAGGTTGGCAGTAAAATGCTGATGTTGGAGAAGTTGACATGGCTGCAGGGAGGCACGAGGGAGGCAGCTTGGACTTTGGAACTTTGGACTCTGGAGCTGGCTCTGCCTTTTTCCTCCCTGCTTTTAGATATTTCCGGGTTTCCTACATTTTTTTAATTTTTTTTTATGTGAAAATTGAGGAAATCTGTTTTCTTTCTTTCCCCCCCTCTTGTTTTAATCAACCTTATTTCAAAATAGCTGCTGTGGCACATTCCAGCAGCTCTCCCTGTCTCATCCAAAGCCTTCTGGCAGAGAAAATTTGTAATCAGCACGACTGTGAGTTTTCACTGAAATCCTAACAAAACATCAGGGTAAAGGGAGGTGTTACTTCTGTCTGTGAAAGGCACTGCACAGATCTGAGGGAGCTCCCCTGTGCTGCTTGGCTTCTTACAGACAGTGTTTCTGTGCCTGCTGAGGATGAGGATTCAGCCTGCCAGGGCTGATTGGAACTGACTGTTCTGGCTGTGCTGCAGTGCCTGGAGCTGCTGCTGGTGTTGGTGTGTGTGCTCCAAAAAGCCCTGCCACGTTTCCATGGCCTCTGTGCTGCATCCCTGCAGCCCTTCCCAGGGTTCCCACCTGGAGCAGGCAGCAGTGCAGTCAGTCTTGTGTCACTGATGATACTCAGGAATACTGAAGGAGCACTGAGGGTGGCTGGGATGGAGTGCTGCCCTAAGGAGTTAACTCCCTGGGCGGGAGGCAGCAAAATTGTAAGGAGGGATGACAAGGGATTAGTGTTGTGCTCAGCCAGCCGGCTCTGGCAGGCCACGTGTCACAAAGTAGGCTGTTTACATTCCCAATAAATGGGTATGTGTCATGAAAATAATCTCAGCTGTGGCACTGAATTTGCTCCTATTTGAGGAGCTGCAAGGAATTGCACAGGGTGGATGCTGGAGCACGGGAAGTGGTGAAGGAGAGCCCAGAAAATCAAAAATGCAGGGGTTCAGGGCAGGGGATGACTGCTCAGTCGTGGCAGGAAGGATTGAAGGTTGCAGGCTTGATAAAGACCCAGAATCCCAGCAGAACACAGGAACCATTTCAGTGAGGTTTTGAAGCTTTCTTAAAATGCCAGCAGGGCACAGGGGGAGGAGAGCAGGTTTCAGGGATACGGCTTGGGTGTGGGGAGAAGATCCACCATTACCCCACAGGCAGTGGTTAGAGCTAGACAAGCTGCTGGGCTCGTGGTGCAGCAGTGAGGAGAGACAGGGAGCCCAGTCAGAGCCTTGGGGCACTTGTGGCAGATGAGGCAGAGAGCTGCCAGGTGCCAGCCTGCACCCAGGCAGGAGACACGGGCAGAATGATCGATCAGAGCCAGTTAGAAAAGCACATGGGGCGTGTCTAAACCCGTGCTGCAGGGTCTGTGATGGCCCACAGCTGAAGAGAAGAAGCCAGTGCAAGAGTTGAGGCATCCTCTCATTTTTTACTGTTTTTCTCCTTTCAGAATTTGGAGGATGAACGTCAGCAGCCAGCTCCAGGTGCAGCAGGGGAGCACGTGTCCGATGTGCGTGCAGCAGAGCTGCAGGGCAAAATCCAGCACTTTGAAGCTGCCAACAAGGTATTTCTTCACGAAGGGCACATCCAGTGCTAGTGAGTCTGATGTGGTTAGTGTCAGAGGGTGTCTCCTGGCTGGGCTGCAGGCAGGTAGCTGCACCTCTCAGTGTGTGATTCTCAGTGCTGTTGTCTGCCAGCTTCAACTAAAAGCATTTACTGTTTTTTTTTCTTTTTTTTTTCCTGCAGCTGGGCTGTATAAATTAATTTTCTGTATTTAATTTTGGAAGTCATTATTTTGAAAGAACTTTCCATTTGTCTGGTGAGCCTTCCAGGAGCTGGTGAAGGAGAGATGCTGTTTCCCTGTCTCTTGTATTGCCTGGGCTGAGCCTGGTGTAGGACAGAGGGAGCCCTGGTTTCATTTCTGAATTTTATTTCAAGAAGCAAGGGAGATCAATGTAGGGGGTATTCTGGTTTTACTTCTGTTTAAACACTTGGGAAAGAAACATGTATCCGAGTTCTCTTGAGGCAGATCAACATAAACACATGTTGAGAAGGCTATATGTTCTTAATTATGCTCTTGAACTCTAAGGTAAATTATATCCTCTGGAAAAACAGGTTAAATGTGGGGAAAAAAATTGGGATGGAATATTTATTTAAATCTAAGGATGGCCATAAGGTCAGCTGCAGCTGCCTGGACTGCAAAGCTTGATGGGAATAGAGATCCCAGGCCCAGTAAATGCAGCTAGAAGTGTTTAAACAGGTTAGGGGGAGTGTCTCAGAGATAACAGGACAGGTGTGTAAACTAATGAACAACAGAAGGAAATTATGTGGCAGCACAAGCTCCCTCAGAAGTTGAGTCTTGGGAAGAAGTGTATCATCCAGCCTTGAGAATGCCAACAGGCAGCATGTTTATAAACACTAATAAGCACTTGTTTAACTGCACAACATGTTCTGTGTCATGAGCTTTATGGTGAAAGCAGCAAACTGTCCTGAAACTGTTGGAGTGGGTGGTGTTCTCTTTAGGGTGAGAGTGTCAGAGGTTTCTCAGGTTGTAAACCAGCCATGGAGACTGGCGAGAGGCTCCCCTTTGCTTTGCAGCTGTGCTGGCAGTGGCCAGGCTCTTTTGTGCTGAAACCAGAACTTAGTGCTAAATAATCCACTGGTTTGATCAGTGAATGTGTAGCTTCTTCATGCTGATATTTTCCTTCCAGATTTTTGGGAGGATTTTGGGCTGAAGCAGCCCCTTTCCTTTTGTGGAAACAGAGACAAATGATAGAAACTGGGAGGGAGTATGTGGGAGGCAGTATGATCTGTGAACTCAAGCCTGAAACCTCTGCCCTGCAGCTGAGGGAGCAGAAGCACTGCAATAAGTCCCGTGAAGGACCTTTGTGTTTACTCACCGGTCTCCACCCAGCTCCACACGTATTTACAGACTCTAGAGGGAGCCACGTTGATCTCGATGTGGTCAACACCAGGGCTGGATGGAGTAAGGAGTGGAGGGAGTCTTAAGGATGTTTACACAGAGCATTAAGCGGATTAAATAAACCCAACCTATTTCTGTCCTCAGTTGTTACAGGAAAAGCTGAATGACTTGAATTTCGAATTAAAATCTGTTCAAGAAACATCACAAAGGCAAGATCGTACAATCCAGAGTCTGAACGAGGCCCTGAAGAGCAAAGAGAGTAAGGTGAGAGCTTAGGGTGGGCAGGGTGGTGCTCAGCAAAACAGGGAGCTGTGCTTGCCCTGTGGGCAGTGGCTGAAAAGGAATGCTTGAGCCACTGCTTGGCATCCTGCATCTCAGTAAATTATTTCTTGCAAAGTCTCTGTGTTGTAATCCAGGCTGGAGGCTTGGGATGGGAGAGTTTGTGCTTGGTTTGCCACTGACTGGGCTCCTTGTGCTTGGACTCAGACAGAGGAGCTGTACCACATCATCGAAGGGCAGAACGAGACCATGGCCAAGCTGCGGGACATGTTACACAGAAACCATCTGGGACAGCTGCAGGTATGTCCTGGAAAGCCTCAAATACATCAGGTGTCATTCTGCATGTGTCCTGGAAGAAAATCTGTGAGTTTCTCTGAACCCTGCTTTTTGGTAGGTGTCAGAGAGCCCACTGTCACCCCAGGAGCAGCAGATGTCACCGCTCGATCTTCAGAACGCACTTTTCTGCAGCAAACTGGAGGTGCAGAAGCTGAGGAGAGCTCAGCGCCAGAAGGAGCATCAGCTGGCTGAAGCCAAGAGAGCAACTCAGCTCCTGGAGACCACAGTCCACGAGGAAGAGCAGCAGAAAGAGGCAACCTGGAAACACAATCAGGTATGGCAGGCACTTAGCCTGGAAGTTTCTGGGTTTACACAGCTAAGAAGCACTGGTGTGGTCAGTACTCTGCTCTTGTGTGGGTATGTTGTCACTTGTACATCACTGGCTGGTGCAAGTGTCCCATCTCTTTTTGTGATGTTCATGTCCCTGCTGCACAGCTTAGCTGTGATTGACTAAAGCTCTGCCTGTGGCCAGAGCAAAGGGTTTAGATGGATGGATACCCTGGGCAATGAAATAGATTCAAACACTGTTCCAGTGTGTTTTGAGATGTGGAAGTTGTAGCATTGCAGAGCTTTTTTAGCTGTTCCCACAGCCCTTCCTCAGACTGGCCCACTGTTCATGGCTGTGTTGAGGGCTGGATTCCAAGGGATGTGCTTTTTCCTTGCAGGAGCTGCGTGCTGTGGTACAACAGCTGCAGGCAGAGCTGCAGGACAAGGCTCAGCAGCTCCAGACTTTGGAGTGGGAGAGAAGCCGTGAGCTGCAGGCCCAGGAGCAGAGAGTTCAGCGTTTGACTCAGCAGCTGGCTCGCAAGGAGCAGCTTCTGCAGGTGAGATGCAGGAAGATCTTGAGTTGAGCATAATTAAATGGAGTCCCTGATCCTCCTTCTTTGATATTTGGTCATGCAAAAGTCTGTCTGTAGCTTTCATGCATGCCCTTTGAAGGGAGGAGAGGCTTCTGGGCCCCCAAGGTGAGAGATAAGGCACAGGTATTCACATAGCTCACAGCAATGCCTGGTGAGCCCTGGCAGGTGTTAGTCAGCCAGCCCCACGTGCTGGCACTACCAGCCTTAGTGTGAAGGCTAGAGGAAGCACTGGGTGGAGGTCCCTGATTGTCCTGTGCTGCTCTTGGGGGTGGGGGAGGTTTTTGTACTGTCAGTTGTGCTAGAGGGGTGTGTGTGATATCTCCAGGAGTCCAGGGAGCTTCTGCAATGCCAGCAAAGCTTGGAGAAGAGCCCTGCAGCCATGAATGCCATGTTGGAGAAGCTGCAGCAGCGTGTCAGCGACAGGGATGCTGCTCTGGAGGTGAGCACATGTTGTAGGCAAGGTCCAGTTGTCCCTGAGGCTCAGCCTTTGGGTTATCCCCAGCCCCAGGCTGACCCCTGGGGTACCACATGCATGCTCATCCTTTGGGAGGAGCCCCTCTGGCAGGGGGAGCTGGAGTCCAGCACGCAGGGAGTGTTGGCTGCAGAGCCCCATCAGGCCGTGCTGAGCAATCCCCCCTGTCCCACAGCGAGCAGTAGATGAGAAGTTCTGTGCCCTGGAGAAGAAGGAGCAAGAGCTGCAGCGGCTCCGGCTGTCCGTGCGGGAGCGCGGCAGCGACCTGGAGAGGCTGCGCACCGTCCTCTCCAGCAACGAGGCCACCATCCACGTGAGTGCTGGCCCAGCCTGCCCTGTGGGGACGTGGGGCTAGACACACCTTCCTCTGAAAGCTCTGGGGAGAGTTTCTGCTGGTGTTTGGCTTCCTCTGGCCTCGTGTGTGGGGCGGGTTCCTGGGTCACTCTTGTTTCTGGGCCGGGCATAGAGGACACCTGGAGCAGATGGGTGAATCTGTGTGACTCTGCTAGAAGTAGAGACTGGTATTTCCAGTTTTGCTTAATTCAGAATTAAGTTTCTGTCCCTGCTTGAGCTGCTTGTGTTGTGGTACTCAGAGCCTGGAGAGCCTCCTGAAAGCCAAAACCCTGGAACTGGAGCAGGTCTCAGCAACCTGCCAAAACCTCCGCTGGCTCAAAGAGGAGATTGAGGCCAAATCTGGCAGCAGGCAGAAGGAGCAGGAGGGGATCATCCAACAGCTGCAGACCTGCCTGCATGACAGGAACAAGGAAGTGGAGGTAAGGCCTTAGCTTGGCTTCCTGAGCCTTCAGCCAGTTTGTCCATAGAGAGTGGTCCCAAAGCAGAGGCTGCTGCCTGTCTCACCTGAAGCTGTGCTCAGCGTTTGGAGGGTGGCTGCTTTTGGCATTGAACATACCTGTGCCTGCTGACACTGCTCCCTCGGCTACACCCAGGCTGCAGAGTCCTTGAACAACTTCCAGTCTCTCTCCTTCCCCTTGCTCAGGAGCTTACAGCAACTCTGCTGTGCAAGCTGGGCCCCGGGCAGAGTGAGGTAGCAGAGGAGCTGTGCCTGCGTCTCCAGCACAAGGAGAAGATGCTGCAGGATCTCCTCAATGACCGGAACCGCCAAACCATGGAGCACGATGCTGAAATTCGGGAGCTGCTGCAGGCTCTGAGCACCAAGGAGCAGCAGAGCAGAGTGAGTTTTGTGCAGTGCCACAGTGGGAGGCTGAGTTTTGTGCAGTGCCACAGTGGGAGGCTGAAGTGGGTGACCCTGACTCTTGCTAAGCAAAGAGAAGCCCCTGGGTGGGCTGAGAGGACCAGAGGAGTTTGTTCCTCTGTACATGAGAGGCTGGTGAGCAGAGATGGGAGGGCTGCACTGGGGTGGGTGTGAGTGGCCAGGAACAGTAACTGCCAGGCTGCTTTGCAGAGCTCTTGGAGTCTCCACCAACAGATAAATACTGAGATGGTTTCCCTTGGTCTCTAAGGAAGAAAAGGGAGCAGGATCCCCTGATCATGGCCCTATCCCTAATTTTCCCCCTCAATCAGGTGGCTGCAGAGAAGATGGCACAGGCTTTGGCTGAAAGGAGCTGTGAGCTACAGCTGCTGCGCCAGCACGTGTTGGGGAAGGACCCTGTTGGGACCCAGTCAGCTGGTGCCAGGCCATTGAAGCAGGACAAACAACCCAGACAAGTAAGAATCATGCACTGTGTGGCCTTGGGGCTGCAGAAAGAACTGATGGCCACAGAAGGAAGTAGGAGAGAAGAGCACCACAGAGAATGATAGAAATGAAAGTGGGATTACCAAAAAGACTTTCTATCGGAGGAGAAGAAACTGAAGAGCAGGAATGTTGCCTGAATGTTCTGATATTGATTTCATCAGCCTTTGTCACTCAGTGTCTCTTTTTGTTTTGATGGAGCAGTAATTGAATCCCTGGGGCACATGAGAGTATGAAAGACATCCACCCTTTGACCTTGCAGCATTGACCCACTCCTTCCTTGGGATGGGCTGCCTTGCTGTATTGTAATCCCCTCCCTGACATTGTCACATTCTGGAGGGGACAAGAGAGCTAAATTTAGGTCCCACTAATTCTTGGCAGAGCCTGCTGGCTGTTTGCTGTCTCTTCCACAACTGGAGTTGGTATTTTTAAAGCAGCTTTGCTAAAATCCCCTTTGAGGCTGAGCACAGCTCCAAGGCTGCATATGCCATGGCTCCTACTTGAGCAGCTGTTAATGGTTTATTGGTGAGCTGACATGTAAACAGGTTTCTGTTCCCAGCTCTAGACACTTCCAGGGATGCGTTTTCCTTCCTGCATGGTCTCTTTGGGCCACATCTGAGATAAAGATGAGTCTCAGTTGAAAGATGGTCTTGCTGCAATTGAGTGAAACCTGTTTAATCTTTGCTGTGAAGACACTTGCTGCCAGCAGCTTCCCAGTGCCAATTAAAACAAGGCCAGTGCCCTCTTCCCCACACATACAACTTGTGGGTGCAATTCACTCATTCCTGCTGCCTGGCTATATATCCCCTTCATTGTTTTTCCACATTTTAGAGGTGTCAACAGAACAGCTTTGCTGCAGTCCTGGAGTTCTGGGGAAGCTGTGTGTTCCCCATGAAAATGCAAACCTGCAGACTTTTATGTTTTCAGGAGATACTGCAAAGAGCTTGTGGAGCTACAGTCATTGCTGGATCCCCACAGGAGGACAGCAGCTGCAGGACAGAGGGAGGTGAGTGTGGGACAGCTTCTTTTCAGGTCCCCACATATGACCAGGGCTTTCTGCTATGGGAGAATCATTACATGAAACTGTGGAAGAGTAGAGAGCTTTGAACAAGAGAATTTTGAAATAAAGCTCTGCCTCTCTTCTGGGTGATGTCTGAGGATGGGAGTAAAGGAACTTACTGCTGCTGTTGGGTACGAGGTGAGGTGTTTCTACTCAAGATCTGATGCTGTCCACTGGAGAGTTCTTGACTTTGTTGGAGGCTGAGCTGAGACAAGTGTACCTGTTTTGGGTTTTGCCTTGGGACCAGGACACTTGATCTTTGCCAGGGGTAGGACAGCAGGCCTGTGATGTTGCTGCTGCTTTTGGCTGCTGTGGAAACAAGAAGGGAAGAAGAGCCTTTACTATCACACGGTGGGATAGGGAGCACAAGCAGCAGGGCCCTGTCATGCCAGAGAGGGACTGTGTGTGGTCTGGGCTCTGAGCTGGCACCTGGTGCTCCTGCAGTAACCAAGTTGTCTTTGCAGTTACAATGTCAGCAGCAGAACTGGAGAAGGATCTTGTCAATGCCAAAGAGGAGCTGGAGCTAATGGCAAGGAAGGAAAGGGAAAGCAGGGTGAGCTTGTGCTGGAGCCTGTACTGATCTCCTTTGCTTTTGGGAGGCCTTAGGTCTGTGCCTCACTGGAGGTTTTGGACCCTACTGTTGTGAGGGTACTCCCAGTGAGAGAAATGGGGCAGGGGGATGTTGGTTTTCAGAAGTCTCTGACGTGCCTCTCTTCCCTCTGCAGCGGGAGCTCACTGCTCTCCAGTCTGTCGTGGCCACACAGGAGGAGGAGCTGCAGGTGCAGGCCTCGGATATCGAGTCCTTGACCAGAACCATCCAGATGAAAGAGGACCTCATCAAGGTGAGATGCTGTGCTAGGCTGGGTGAGGGTGGGTTCCACCTGGGGAGGCTGCAGAGGAGTCTCTTTGTCCCCCACATCCTCAGAGCAGTGTGGCTGGCTGGCTGTGGTTGCTACAGCTCTCTGAGTTCCTTTGGCAAACCCCCAGACTCTTCTTACTTGGAGTTCTGCTCTTTCTGTACCAAACACTCTCCTTCAAGTCCTTTAATCAGAATGCACCCTTCTTGTGTCCCTCCTTGGTTCTTACTGAGCACTGTGGTCTGTGCCTAATCCATGCTTGGTGCTTTGGCATTTTTTTCTTGGAAGACCTGGATCTTTCCAAACACTGGAAACTTCTGACAGTTGCATTCCGGGGAGGTTTGTGAAGGTCCAGCTGTCTTTGTTACTGATCCCTTCCTCACTGAGCTCTCCTGCTGTTTGCTGGGTTTCAGGATCTGCAGATGCAGCTGGTGGATCCTGAAGAAATTCCAGCCATGGAAAGGCTGACACAAGAGGTGCTGATGCTTCGGGAGAAAGTGGCCATAGCAGAGTCCCAGGGACAGGAGGCTACTGGAAACAGAAGGCAGCAGGTAGTGTGCCAGTGGGGCAAACTTGGATGTGTTTGTCTTTCTGCTGGTGCTCAGGTGTGGGGCTTTGTTTTCAGCCTTTGGATACGCCAGGATGTGCTTGTTCTTGGAAGCTGGTTGTGGGAATACAGAGGAGAAGTTCTCTTTAGCACTTGCCCAAAGGGCAGAGTCTTTTGGGAGTCCAGGGATGACATTGGACACAAGGAAGAGAGGAAAGGGAACCCCCAGTTTTTCAGGGACAGCTAGATACCTCCTCTTGATTTCTGTCTGTGTTTAAGAGCTGCACCTTGTGTCTTCTCTCCAAGCAGTTGTTACTGATGCTGGAAGGGCTGGTGGCTGAGAGGAATCGGTTAAATGAGGCTCTCCAGGCAGAGAGGCAGCTCTATGGCAGCCTGGTGAAGTTTCACACCCACCCAGACACGTAAGTGAGGCTGCCTGGGCTCTGTGCTGCCCTGCTCTGCTGCCAGGGCAGGCGTGGCTGGTCCATGGGGCAGTCCCTGAAGCAGGGATCATTCTGCAGGTCTGAGAGTTTTCAGTGGGGGAAGAGGAGATCTAGGCAAAGGATCAGCCAAATGCTGCTTTGAGAGTCCAAGTTTCAGGCTGCCTTTTTCCCTCAAAGAGGCTGCAGTGGCCAGCTTTAATGGCTCCCTAAACTCCCCCTATTTACCATGGGATTTCCATCTCTGGTCCTTAGCTTATCTTTTCCCAACTCAGTTTCCCACCCACTCTTGGCCATCTTTCAGAGGCTGCTGTCAAATTCTCAGCCAACTGTTGGGTTGATAAGGATCCCTCTAGGTGCTTATCCAGGCAGTTGCCTGTCCCCTGATTTAATCCCCTGCCCTTCACAGGGCTGCAGCCTCTGGGATATTTGAGCTACCTGATAGCAAGGGAGCACATAAGTGGAGTGCTTGGGAAAGCACTGCAGAACAGCTGTGACTCTGAGGCCCCTGCCATGGTCAGGGGCCTTTTTTGGGGGTGGCTGTGCTTGGAGGTGAGGCAGGAGGTGCCTGGGGAGCCCCCGGGGCTGTGCCCGGCTCGGTGTCCCCGAGGGCTGGAGCACGCAGCCTGTCTAACCCTGTTCCCTCCTGTGCCGCCTGTCGCTCAGCTCTGCGAGAGACCACGCCCTGCAGGTGGAGCTGGAAGGGGTCCACGAGCTGCGGGGACAGCTGGAAGAAGCTCTTGGAAGAAGCTTGGAGTGTTTGAGCAGGCTGGAGACGCAGGGCGCCATAGGAGGTGGGGAACAGGGGCGTGTGAGAGTCCTACCCCAGCATGCCTTCTGAGCACTGGCGCTCGCCCGCCCGCCACGGAAACGGTTCACTAACCCGTCTCACTGACTCTGAGCTTTGGTACTGAGTGATGGTACGATAGAACCATGGTGCAGGGCTTTTTTTTTTATTACTATTATTATTATTTGTTTCATTTTTGAGCTGCTTTGGAAACGGCGATCAGTGCAATCCACCTGTGTCTCGTGTACGTTCCTGTCTGACCCACCCTGGTGGCCACTGATGTATTTGCACATTCAAATCATTCCATTTTAGTTATTCCCCTCTATCTCCCTTCTCTTCCCACCACCATGGGCCAAATAAAGATTCCCTATCTCTGAAGGAAACACCAGATGTTTTCTATCCTCTCCCAAGTGCATGAGTGTGAGTTTTTGTATTCCCTCACCATTTTTCTTACCCAGTGACATCCACCCCTTGGGTTGATGGTGGCTGGCCCAAAGGGAGGCAGTGTACATGGAAAAGTCTGTTCCAGAGACAGAGAGTTCAGGACCTGGGGACACTTGCCTGGGCCTTTTACACAAGACTTGAGTGTAGAACCAGCAGTTCAGTTTATGCTTAAACCAAATCCTTCTCCAGTGTTGGTAATTTTACTGACTGGCTTTTTTTTTATTTTTCCTAATTTTAAGTTGTTTCAGCCTAACTTGTGAGTGCCTTCAGAGGAGAGCTTCCTCCTCTTTTTGACAGATGGTTTGAGGGGTGTCCCTGTTCCCAGGGTCTGGGCTGGGTCTGCCCCCTCACTCATACATGCACATGTCCCTTACATGCTCATGTGCCCCTTGGGCCATGGGCAGGACCCATTTCTGAGGTGCTGGGCTCTGGCCCCCTCAGCACCACTGACTGCATCCCTTTTCCAGGCCCTCTTCCACCTCCTCTGGGAATGTGGGAGCTTGTGTGAAAGCTGAAAAACAGTAGCAACAACCTTCCACTGGCCAGGGCTTCCCATGCACAGCGGGCTGTGGATCTGCTGTCTAGTACTCAATCACTTCTCAAAACAGCAGGAGCAAATTTTGCACCTCTGAGCATCTGTTTGTGCTTGCTGGGGCGGCTGAACGAGGGGCAGGCGGAGCAGAGGAGCTCCGTGGTGCTGGGCTGAGCACCTGGCCCTGTGCCTGCTCTGCTGCATGGCTCCTTGCAGCTGCTTCAGCTGGCACTGCCTGTCCCGTGCCTGCTGCTGCCCTGGGGGCTTCTCCCTGCTGCTGCCCTGGGGGCTGGGAGGCAGCAGAAGCTCAGCACTGCCCCTCTGGATCGGCACACAGCAGTTCCCCCAGGCATTGGAGGGACACAGCTGGGAGCTGCTGGGCAGCTCTGGCTTTTTGTTAGCTCTTCCTTTCTTGTGTTTCATCTCATTCCCCTTCTCTCACTTCTCTCTGTAGCATCATTCTTCTCCCCATCCTTTTGCTTCTCACTTGGTAGAAGCCTTTGTGGCCCTGTTCTTACCTTTCCATTTTCCCTCTGCCATCCTGGCACTGATGCCCAGCTGCTCCCTTGGGTACTGTGGAGCCCAGCAGCCAGCCCAGAGCCATTGGCATGGCCTGAGAGGAGCCTTGGCTGGTGCTCAGGCATCTCCCTCCTCCACCTGTGTCTGTTTTGCTGTAGATCTGTCCCTGCCTCTGTTAGCATCGCTGCTCTGAAGTGTCCCTGAGGGGCAGTGTTACCCTGGGCTCGGGTGTCCCAGCTTTCCTGGCCTGTTCTTTAACACCTCCTCTTATCCCTGACAGCCTTGAGCATTCCCTGCCTGAGATCACCCTCTGTCAAACTCTGCAGTGCTTTGTGCTGTCTCTGTGTGTTGCCATTCCTCCCTCTCTGAACTTCCCCAAGGCTTCCTGTGCCTCTTTCCCAGCAGTGTGGAGGTTCCTGTGCAGCCGCTGTAGCTGGGTGTCCCGGGCTTGTGATCCCTGTCCAGTTTGCAAGCATGTAACTAACCCTGTGTGCCTTCAGGCTGGGCTGAAAGCCCCAGGAGCCTGGAAAAGCAGAGCTGTGGCTGCACCTCTTGCCTGCTGTGCTGGTGGCACACAGAGCTGAGCAGCCTGGTGTGCTCCTGCTGTGATGGGTTCAGGTGTGTGGGGACGCAGCCTGGGCACAGCTGCCCTGCGTGCACACATCTCTGCTCCTCAGCACCAGCTTCCTGTCTGCCCCTTGGTTTTAGCTGGTTTTGGGGTTGCTTTTCCTTGAGAATCGCACTCCCTTTTACTCCTCGGCCCTGGAGCCCTGGGAGGGAGCTGTGGGCAGTGGTGAGAAGTGGGGATGCTGTGCCCTGGCACAAGGCAACAACCACATGAGCTGGTTCTCATGTTCACAGAGCAGCTGTGGGTCACTTTGCCGTGGTCCCTCAGCCGTGGTGACCCACCTTGAGAGCCTTGTGGCCCCCAGGTCTGCATCCCCTCACCCTTCAGTGCTGTCCCTGGCTGCTTCAGCACCAGCGGGCTCTGTCCCTGGGGGCTCACAGGGCTGTGCTTTGGCTGTGCCGAGAGCCACCTACAGGAGCCGCTTCTTCCTGCGCTGCTGCTGCCACTTGGAGCTGTGGCTGAGCGTTTTGCTCCCAGACCGGCATTTCCCCGTGATGGCTGTCCTTGTTCCCTGGGGCTGGGATGGCTGTCCTTGTTCCCCGAGACAGGGATGGCTGTCCTTGTTCCCCAGGGCTGGGATGGCTGTCCTTGTTCCCTGGGACAGGGATGGCTGTCCTTGATCCCTGGGGCTGGGATGGCTGTCCTTGCTCCCTGGGGCTGGGATGGCTGTCCTTGTTCCCTGGGACAGGGATGGCTGTCCTTGTTCCCCAGGGCTGGGATGGCTGTCCTTGTTCCCTGGGACAGGGATGGCTGTCCTTGCTCCCTGGGACAGGGATGGCTGTCCTTGTTCCCTGGGACAGGGATGGCTGTCCTTGTTCCCTGGGACACAGCTCCTTCCGTGGGCCCACACCTGCATCGTGCAGGGTGGTGTGTCCCCAGGTTCAGCAGTGAGGTGCCCCACATTTTTGCAGCTTCCTGGCACACGTGGCTCTCCTGAGTGTGTCCCCTCTATGAGCACAGTGCCCTGTGCAAACGCCTGCCCTGCTGCAAGGCACGTTCCTGCTGGTTCTCAGCTATTCTTCCTGAGAGCCAGATGCATCCCTGCTGGCTTCACCAGTGAAGCTTGGCATCTCTCTGTGCTCCCCTGCTCTGTGTTCTGCCTTGCCCTGCAGCTCCAGAGTTGATGGTGATGGATTTGTCTGCAGGCAAAGCACTTATCTCTCTTCTGGTGCACAGCCAGCTGTGGAGCCCGGCTTTTCACAGCCCTAGAGGACAGCTTGGGCCCTGCCTAAATGTCTCTCCCCCTGGGAAGAAGAGGGATTGGGGATACACCCATCTCCCAAGGGGTTCGAGTCCTCACGCAGGGTTTGGCACCAAGGGGACCAAGGGGACAGGAGCAGAGCTGTGTGCAAGCAGAAAAGCACGACCCCGGCGCCGCCCAAGCTGCAGTAGGGACACAAGTGTCCCTTCAGCTCCGCAAAGCCAGCACGGGGCTTGCAAGGAGCCCCAGGCCTGGCTGGCAGCACGGCTCGGGCACTGTGGGCAGGGTGGCTGCTCCTGCCTGGGCAGGCAGCAGTGGGGTGCTCACCGCAATCCTCCCAGCGGGCTGGGGAGGTGCAGCGAGGCTCCCTGCCCGAGGCTGTGCTGCTGCTGCCGGCTGTGCCTGCGGGCGGCTGCTGCCCGGCCCTGTCCGCCAGGGCAGCGAGAACAAGGTGTGGATGGGGCAGGAGCATCCCCGGGGCTGTCCCCTCCTCACTGACGGCTCCAGTGTGCAGGGAGGGGCTGGCAGCGCCCAGGGACAGCAGGGAAGCCTTGATCCAGCCGGGAGTGTCCCAGGAGCGAGACCCCCGCCCCGGGGCTGCCCGCAGTGGCCGTGGGTACCGGCGGGGAGGAGGGGACAGAGGCAGCGCTGCCAGCGCCGCTGCTCTCAGCGCCTTGCCGTGCTGTGCTGTCCCCTAGGTCAGGCCGCAGGTTCACACAGCGACGGCAGCACCAACTTCACCGACAGCATGAAGGAGGAGGCAGCCCGTGGCCTGGCAACCCAGCAGGTGAGTGGGGCAGCGCCGGGAACGGGGCTGGGCACTGTGCCATGGCCAAAGTGCGCCCCAGCCCCCAGGAAACG